ATATAAATATATATTATTTATATATATATTTATATATATTTATTTTATTAGTTATTTGACGATATTTATGATAAGAAATAATAAATCAAAAAATATAAAGGAAAAAAAGAAGTTCAGTTATAAGAATTATTAATAAAAAAAGAAAAAAAAGAATTAAAAAAATAAAAGAAAGATAAGAATTATAAGAAAGATAAAAAAGAAAAAAAAGAAAAAAAAGAAAAAAAAGAAAAATAAGAAATATATGAAAAATAAGAAAAAAAAGAAAATAAAGAAAAAAAATATAATTTAAAAGAGTGATAATTTATATATATAAAAGAAAAGAATAATATAGAATATTATTATAAAAATTAATAATATCAATATTATAATTAAATTAAAAATAAAAATACATATAAAAATTAAATTTAACTTTAAATATATTTGAATAAGCTTATATATTTTTAATAAATCTTTAATATATATTTATATATCTATATAATTAATAAGGCTTTTTTGTTTTGTTTTATATGTTATATGATAAAAAATAGCCTCCATTTATTTGCAAATATTTAATTTTGGAAAATAAAATATTTTCAATTTGACAATCATACTAAATATTTATATAAAGAAAATAATACTTTTTTTAGGAATGTTTAATAGGCTTTATCGATTCGTTAATATTTCGGAAGTCAATTTATCATTTTTTTTGAAATTAATAAATAACTTTTAAAATAATATGTATATAAAAAGATTAATTTAATGTATATTAATATGCATTATATATATAAACTTAAAATTAATAATAATTATTTATAATCTATTAATAAAAAATAGAGAGAGAGCCTTTTGAAATTATAAAATAATGTTTTTTCTTTGTTTTTGCTAAAATATAAATAAATTTAATTATAAATACATCACTCTTTTTATTTAATTATAAATATTAATTTAAGTTTAATGTATTTTTATGATCTAAAAAATATTTTTTTTTTTTTTTTTTTTCTTATTTTTTTATATCTAAAAAATTTTTTTATTTTTTTTTTTTTTCTTTTTTTTTTTATATTTATCTATGTAAAACTTAATAAAGTAATTTATAAAATAAAAAAAAAATAAAAAAAATATATAGTTAACAAAAAATAGAAAGAAGAAAATAAATAAGAATATTAAAAAATAAATAAAAAACTTTAATATATATATATATATATATTTAACAAAAAAAATAAAAAAAATAAAAGGACATGTCTCTTATCTCTAATGATGTAAAAAAATTACTCTAAGGAATGATTGGCTAAAAGCAAACAATTTTAGCCTGTACAATAGCCCAAATATATACTTCTGAGCCTTTAAGAAACTGGAGATATTCAAATTTATAAGGTCTATTATGTTTTATATGGGATCGGGAATAATAATCTACACCTTTTTTGAGAATGTTTGATATAGAAAATTTACATACAGTAATATTCGAATGTGAACTATATATAGATTTTAATAAATATATAACGGCATAGACTTCTACCTTTTATTATTTCGAATACTTATCAGGATTTATTGGAATTTAATTTATAAACGAAAATGAGGCAATAGAATTTTCATGTAAATTAATGAATTCTTGTATAAAGGCGGAAGAAGATTTTTATAAAAAGAAATTAAAACAATAGGAAAGTTAATACGAAGGAATTTTCGGAATTCGAAAAGGAATTAAAAATGTTTATAATTATTTCGTTAAAGGAAGTACATAGGACGAATAATTAAATTCCGAAAAAATATCGAAACCATAATAGGTTATTTAGGAAGTTTCAGTATAATATAATCTAGAAACTAATACTTTTAACTATTAGTCTATATCTCCTTAAATGTAAACTATATTTAAAGGTGCAGGAATTACATAGAATGATCTTAAAAATGGAGAAGTTGCACCTTATATTATGAATTTATTATAAAATTATTAAAATGATCCAGTATATATTAGAACTTCTATGGCCGTTAAAACTTCCTAAATGTAAAGATCTTAATAATAAAATAATAATAATTTATAAATTAACCCTAATATTACTAATAATAATATACTAGAAAGTAATTACTAGCCAAGAACATCAAATATATCAGTACCTCCTTAAAATTTAAATATACCAGAACCCTCGAAATCGAATATACCAGAACCTCCTAAATTGAATATACCAGAACCTCCTAAATTGAATATACCAGAACCTCCTAAACTTAATATAAAGGAAGAACCTAAGATAAATATATTGGATGGAGTTAAAAAAAATTAGTTTTCGAAAGATTAGGTCGGTAATAAATAAAATATGCTAGAGGAAATTAGAAAAGGATAATTTTAACTTAAGAAATACGACCCAAGTATGGATTAAAATAAGCTTAATTTAAATGTTGAAGTTAAAAAGGAAGACGAATAATGTTTATAGGAATATTTATCGAAAATGATATAAGAAAGAAGATAATAAATAAGGAAAAACTATAATAATGATGATGATAATAGTTCAGAAAATAATAGTGATTAAGATTGAAGATTAAAAAAAAATATGATTTAATTTATATATTAAAAATAAATATATATATATATATATATATATATATATATATATTTATTTTTTTCAGTTTTAACCAAATTTAAATGTATTCCCTATTTTAGGAGATAAAGAGGCGATTTTATCATTTTATTATAAAGAAGAAGGATAAACTATCTATTTTTTAGAAATACGTACACTTACAATATCATGACGGGAACTATCTTTAGAAAGTGAATGATTAACTAATGACCCTAGTATATTATTTTAATCAAAAGATAAGTATTATTAACGTTCGGCTTCATTTAGGCGAGATTTATTAGTTTAATTTAACTTGAAATCGTTAAAATCTTAGTCTACTTTTTTAGCAAATTCAATGTTTATTTTTTTCTTTTATACATTTGTATTTTATATGCCCATTTTTCATATAAGAAATATTTCAATTAATTAATTATGGCAACTTAATGAATAAAATAAACTAAATAAATAAAATAAATATTTACATATACTCTTTATTAACATGTATGTACTTGCATAAGTTCCTATAACTAATGTCACCCATGGAACACTAGAAGAGAATATATTCGCAGTGATTAAAACTAATAAAAAAAAGGCATTTGAAAGTAACCATTTGGACACAAATTTTATTTTTTCTTAATAAAACTCATCGTTTTCTTTATCTTAATTTATTATACCTTTTTTAATATTATTTATATGAAAATCGATTATATACATATATATATACTATTACTATATATTTAGTTTATTATTATAAACTTTATATTTATATGAAAAAAAAATAAAAAAGTAATTAATATATATATATATTATTGCCTTTTGTTCCCCATGTTACATCGTCAATATTACAAAAAGCAAAAATTAATAATATATGATTATATATAGGCTGATATAAATTATAGCTTATAAAAGATACTAGAATATCAAAAATTAAACGAGGTTAGAATAAATGGAAAATAAGTACTAAAAAAAGGTTCCGAAATTAATTAAAACCATTACTTAGACAAATCTTAAAAGTCCTTAAGGTAATTTTTTAAAGCCTTTTTCAATTCCCCAGCTAGTGTTGAATATATTAAATATTACTGACATTATTACTATAGCATATACTAATAAACTCTATTTTAAAGTTTTATTATATATTTTTTTTTTTTTTTTTAACTATAAAAGATATAATTGCGGATAATGTTTTAAATATATTATTCGTATATTCTTATAATTACTTATTTTAAAATTATTTAAAATATTAATATAGGTATAAATAAAAAATATTACATAGTTTTAAAGAATTTCATTTCTTTATTAAATAAAAGTTTATAATTCAATTTAATCATTCAAAAATTTATCTTCTAAATTAGATATTTTCTATTAATCATTATCAGAAACAGATGAATCTTTAATTTTAAAGGTAAGACTAGCGAAAATAGTAATAATAATACACACAATAAAAATAGCTGGTATAAAATTAAGTGCAAGAAAAAAAAAACTTTAAAAAAATAAAGTAAAGTAAAAATAATATTATTTATAATAATAATATATAAATATATAAATTTATATATATATATATATATATATAAATATATATATATTATATATATATATTTATATTTTTAAATATACATTTTTATTTATTTATTTTTATTATTTATTATATATTTTATATTTTTTTTTATTATATATTTATTATATATACTTAGCAGCATTCGTAACTGAACAAGCCATATAACAATTATTTTTCATATCTTTTAAGCATGTTCTTCTTATAACTTCAAATTCATCATACTAATCTGTACATTTATATAATGATTATTTACTCTAATCTTTTGGTATAAATATATACCCTTATGTAAATTAAGGAGTTATAAATTAATAACTACTTGAAATAGCCACAAAAAGATAAAAAGCAGGTATAAAATAAGTATTAAACTTACCTATTTTCGCAAAAAGCATATTAAAAGGTAAACTAACGCTTTTTTCGAATTCCGAATGATTACTTTCTTAACAATTATAGTAGTATTTTTTTAATACATAATTTAAAGCAAACCAACTGCTATTTATCCATCTTCTTCTTTAATTAACAAATTCTTCAAATTTGTCCACTGGATCAGTTTTCGCTACTGCGTCTGGTATATATTTTAATCTTTATTTATGTATTTATATATTATATAGTCTTTGTATTTACTTATAAGACGCACTAGGTTAGCAATATATACCTAAACATAAAACTCTATCTTCTGCTAAAAACATATTAGCTTCACTATATGTACCTTCCATTTTTGTCGGATTTAATAGTTATTTTAAATATTTTTTTATAATAAATTTTCTTTATGTTCTTAAGCCATTTTTAATGCTTAATATCTATATAGTATATCTATTTATATATATATATATATATATTTATATTATACCTATATCCAGACCATGCACCAGGTAATACGTGTAGAAATCCAAGTAGAGATTCAAAGTTTTTATCTATCATATGTGCAGTAGTATATTCATAAAGTTAGGCTTTTTTTAGATTGGCAAATTTCATGTAGCCAAGAAATATATTTTATATAATATACCATAATAAATTTAAAAATTTAAATAATAGAAATGAAATGAATTTAGTTATATAAATTATCAACATTATTGGAAGAAAAAAAAAAAATTATAATAAAAGTACATTTCTAGTATTTGATTTTCGTTTTTTTTATAAATATTTTTAGTATAAAAATTAGTCTTTTTAATTATTTTCATTTTGTTATTATTCGAACTATATTTATTTAAGTTATTTTTCTTTGTTTATCAAATTTTAAGTCTTTTCAATTTTCTTTCTATTTGCTTCATTTTCTCTTAAAGTTTAATCTTTATTATTCACTTTATGAGGCTCTTCTAAACCTAAAAAACCGCAAACACCACCAATATTTTTATTTCCTTCCATAGCCATATAAAACTTAACAAGACCATCTTTAGCAGGCTAAATAAGTTTATGAAAAAATTTAAAAATATATAAATTATATTTATATTTATATTTATATTTATATTTATTATTTATATTTATATTTATATTTATAATATATTACTAATGTTCCAACATCTACTAGTGCACAATATTTCGGTTTAAATTATCTACAAAAGCCTTCAAAAAACCACATATGTGATGATAATTTTTTAGCGTTCAAATGTTTGAAAAGTGTAAATACATTTAAATGAGACGAATTTTCATTAAATTAATTTTCTTCATTTTACTAATAAGATTAATATTGTATTTAATTTTGATATAATAAAGCTATTCTTGTCGGTATAGTATTCGGAAGTCCATTATTTAAAGATAATTACGCAGCTGTTTTTTATTTTATCTAATCTTTAATTAAATTAATTCTATTTTGAAGATATTACTCTCTCTATAATCCATCATCTATTTAACTATAGAAATCAACTGTTTCTTGTTTCATTTTCATTATTCCATCTTAAAGAACTACCACGACTATTTATTAATTTGAAACTCCATGCTTTTTGAACTCCTCGAGATTGTTTTAGATATGAATTAGTGTATTTTCTAGAAAATTACGTTTTTCTGCGTACATTGTGACACAAATTATCATTTATATTTTGTTGTTTTTAATATTTTATTTCTCTTTACATTCATTTAATTCAACTATTCCATTATTTTTTGAATAGTAATAGGCCATTCCATGATTTTCATTTAATTTTTATAATACTTTATCACTTTTTTATTATTTTTTTATTTTATTAAAAAAAACAAAAACTAAAAATTACTTATATCCATTTTTTCATCAAAAGGTTAATATGATAGTATTTATTCACCATTCTCGTTTTTATGATAATTTGGTTTTGATAAAATATCGGAATTATAGACTGTTAAAGCATCTCTTTTAGTAGGTTCGCCATCTTCATAGGTACATGTGAGAAATATATCTATAGGTTCTTCACAAGTTTCAGTTCGTTTTATTATTGTATTGTATTTACTGTCTTCATTAGACATTATAATGGAGTTCTCAACAATTTTAGAGTATCCACGACGGTCATTCATTAGGCTTGTACCTATAGTGTTACTTCTAAAGTTTTTTAAAATGGGATGATTATTTTCATTGGAGTATAATGAATAAGTAGATAGGGGTTCTTGCTAATTAGTAAGCAGAGGTGTTTCTAAGTTTTTTTAACTGTCATCGTTAATATTTTCCTACAATTTAGAATCTTTTTGATTCATAAATAAAAATGAATATATAAATTTATATTATATAAATAGATAATTTATTTTTATTTGATTTTTATATTATATATTACTAATATCATATAATTAAAAAATATTTATATGTTTTTTACTATATATATTAATATTATTATATTTATGTTATTAATATGAATATTAAATAAAAAAATTTAAAATATATATGTATAAAAAAATATTATAAAAATTAAAAATATAATATTAAATGTATAAATTATTAATATATTTGTAAATATATAAATATAAAAATATTAATATATATATATATATATATATATATTTTTTTTATTTAATTTAATTTTTATTTTTTATAATAATTACATATTTTTTAATATAATAAAAGTACGTATTTTTAATATATAATCAAAATTAAATTTTTATTAATCTAATAATAAATTTTTTCTATATAAATTTATTTATTTTTTCTTATAATATTTAAATGTCTATATTTTTTCATTCTGGATAAAATATCATATAAACAAATATTAATAATAATTTATAAAATATATCTAATTATCTTAATTTTATCCAAAATATTAAAACTAGCCTTAAAAAGATGTATTTGAATAACTTTTAAAGAAAAAACCTAAAACAAAAGAAGAATATTAACATATTTTATCTTTACAAGTCTAATAAAAAAAAGAAAGGGATAAATTAAATAATAAAAAAGACAAAGTTTAGATTTTAATTTTTTAATAATAAAAAGATGAGATTTTTCATTAAAATTCTTAGAAAAAATTTGGTATTTTAAATATTGAAAATTATGGAGAAGGTGAAATATCTAATAAATAAAAGTAAATTTTGGAATACTAAAAAGCTTTAAATGATTAAATTTAATAAAAATAAATGAATAAGTAATTGGAAAAATAAAAGGAAATCGAAGAATAATAAAAACTGGAAATTTTTCTATAAAAAAATTTCGAAAAACAATAAAATGATAATTTTTAATCATAAAAAAATATTAATTTAAACGAAATAAATTCTAATTTAAATGAGAGAAAAAATTCTAATCTTTTATAATTAATAAATACTAATTTAAACGAGTAAAAAATTCCTAATTTAAACGATTAAAAAAATACTAATTTATAATAAAATACTAATATTAATGAAAAAAATAAAAACGAAATTAATTATTTTAAGGAATATTAAGAATTCAAAAATAAATTGTTTGATAAATAGATAAATTAATTATAAAAAAATGTAAAAATTATAATTAATATTTGGCAATAATTAAATAAAAAAAAAAAAAATATAAATAAATATATATATATATATATATATATATATATATATATAGATTTTTATTTATACTTATTTATATAGATTTAATCTAAAAACGAAGACGAATACCATAATCTAAAAAATTTAATTATTTTAAGAGAAAAATCAAAAGAAAATCATTTAAATAAGATTTTATTGAAAAGAAATGTTTTGTAAGATAATCAATAATTAAACAAGGAAAAAGAAATAAATTTATATAATATTTAAATACTTTAAAATTTAAATAGATTTAAAAATAGTACTTTTTAAGAACCGGATTTCATATAAATAATAAATTAAGATTATTTTACTAATTCTTAATTAATTCCTTTACCTAAAAAAGCTTTATATAAAATTGAGAAAGAAAAATAAAATTATATATAGGAAGAAATAGATGTAAAAATATAATAAATGGAAAATAAATAAAGGGCTTTTTCTTTAAATAATTCGAAAAATTAAAATTTTGAAAGAAAGAAATCTTTAGATTTGGAAAATAATATAAATTGTTCTTTTTTAAATGAAAATTTAAATTAAAATTCATTCGAAAATTCGATAAATGAAGAAAATAATAAAGAAATTGAAGATTTTTTGGAAGAAATTAATAATATTTTAAAAAAAGATAGCGAAAGTTTATAAAAAGAAGAAAAGAAAACTTATAGATAAATCAGAGAAGATACTAATATAAAGTTTTTATAAAAACAAAAAGAATTAGAACAAAAATACCTATCTAAATTTTAAAGTTTCAAAAAAACGAGCAAAATCCTTTAAAAGAAAATATCGTAAATACTTAAAATAATATTATAGAAACAATAAATGAATTAAAAAATTAAATAAATGAAAGTGATTATCTAATAAATCTTTCAAAATAAAATATTTTAAATAATAAAAAGAAAAAGAAGAAAAATAAGAAGAAGAAGAAAAAAAGAAGAAGTAAATATAAACTAAATATAACAAAATTAATAGCTACACAATAATCAAATATAACCATAATAAGAAGATTTAAAAGAAAATTAGAAAAAACACAGAAAATCAATATAAACAACTATATATAGAACTTCTAAAACAAACAGAAGAAAATAAATCGCAAAAAGACGATAATAATCTATTTTAAAAAAGTCTTGATAAAATGGATATATTATTATAAAATTTTAAAAAATAAGACTGAAGAAAAAAAAAAAAAATATATGTAAATATAAATATAAAGTTATATATATAAATGTTTATATAAATATATATATATATATATATATATATATTTATATATCTATATATATTATAATATTCAATTCTGTCCCTCGAAATTATCATCATTCCATTTTCCTTATGTACTTTATCCTAAAATATTAATAAAATTACCAAATCCATGTCTTTTACCTTATTTCCATTCTCCTTAGTATTTACTTCCATTCACATAATTTTTAATTCCGTTTCCATCATATAAATCATTTTTCCATTCACCTTAATAATAACTTCCATTACAATAATAAGCTTTACCTTTTCCATGTTTTTTACCCATGTTCCATTAACCAGAATAGGATGATCCATTTACATAATAACGAATTCCTTCGCCATGATATTTATAGTCTGACCATTCTCCTTAATAGTAACTGCCGTTTATGTAGTTTATGGTACCTTTACCTTCTTTTGGATATTAATTAGGTATTATGTCTTGAGGATTTTCAGGTGGTTAAATATAACTTTATGATATTTGGATTTAGAAATTTTGGTTTACATTTTATTAATTATTCTAATATTAAGAATAATTTAATTAATATTAATATTATGAATTAGTATTATTATTATTATTATTATTATTATTATTATTATTATTACTTGTATTAATATTTGTACTAATATTCGTACTTATATTTGTATTAATATTTTAATTAATATTTTAATATATGTTTCTATTAATATTTTAATTAAAATTTTATTGTTTCTTATATTTATATTCTTCCATTTATTATTATATATCAATTTTTTAATAAATATTTTATAATTTTAAAATTATTTATTTCAAAGAAATTTCTTCTTTTTATAATAAAAGAAATTCATTTTAAATTTAGTTTTAATTTTAATAAATTTCCATGAAAAGATTTCCTAATTATATATTATCTTTAACATTAATATTTTATTATTCAGAAAATTTATTTAACGAAAAATCTGCAATAAAAGGTTCATTATTTTAGTCAAACAAAATGTTTTCTTTTTTTAAACCGTCGTGATTAATATTATTTTAGTGTAAAAAAAAAACTGTTTGTATAATTTTTAAAGTTATTTTTAATAATTCTTTTTCTGAAAATTCTTTAAGTTTTAAATTATTTAAATTTCCATTTTCATAGAAATTCTATAAAATTATTAAATAATTATTATGTATTATCAACTCATGGATTTATACTAAATTGTTTAAATTCTATTCTTATTTTATCCTCTAAAATTCTTTCAAAGCACATATTATAGCATCTTAATTTTAATCTTTATATACTTTTGCGATTATTCGGCTTTTAAACATACTTTAATCAATAAGTAAAATAAAAGACTAATCAGAAATATATAAAATATCTATTGTTATTATTTCATAAATTAGGAGATGTGAAATTATTTCTTAAAAGTCAAGTTAATTTATATTTTTTGGTTAAAATTGTTAGAGTTTATTTGATATAATATTTTACATATTTATGGTTTTTTTATTTTATTATATATTTTAAAAAATAAATTAATAACATGATTATTTATTTATAAATATATATATGTATATATATATATTAATATATATATATATATATATACTATTTTTTAATATCAATTGTTATTAATAATTAAAATATTTTTATAATCTCTACAAAAATTTATAGATTAGTAAATATCTTTTTTTATATTTAGTTTTATAATATATATTTAAATTAATTTTATATAATTTGCTTATTTATTTATATAAATTTTTTCTTAATTTCTAAACTTTGAAAACGCTTATTTATCATTTTTAACATTTTTACTTTTTTTTAATCATTTATATTGCTTTATAAACTTCTTTAATAGTAATTTATTACAATAGATACCCAATATTTTTTTCTTTTCACATAAAGCATTTACCTTTTTTTTTTATATATATTTTAATTAAATCTCTTAAAATAGAATAAATATTAGCTATTATATTTATAATTGTTAATTTTTAAACTTTTTCTTTTTAAACTTAGATTTAGAAATCATTGTTATATAAATTATTTGAATATTAAAAAAATAGAATTTTAAATAAGAAAGCAGTCTTTTTAAAATATTTATATGTAATTATTTATTTTCGACTATAATATCAATTTAAAAGATTAATTTTTCTTTTTAATAAAAAGAACATTAGGTATCATTTATTTTAGAAATTTAATAAGTAAAACAGAAAGCTTAAATTTTTAGCATGTACTATTCTATTTAAGTCACTCTTATTCTATAATAAAACTAAAATTCATGAAGTTTATTAAGTTTAAAGAAAAGGACAAAAATGCATTTTATAACTTCATATAATATAAGGATTTATCTAAAAGTTATTTGAATAAATATATATAGGAACCGATTTATTATATTATACAAAGTAATATATTGGAAATTGATTATTTTTTACAAGGATATAATGTTTAAGATAGATAAAAAATTATTTTAAGTAGATGGGGAAAATATATAATAATAATAAGTTTTTAATGATTTTTTTTAATATATTTTTTTTTAAA